CGCCTGTTGATGCATTCTGGTCTTGCTCTACTCCACCTACCTACAGAAACTTTCCGTGTATTTCATCAACACAGCAAATGTCAACGGCAGAATGTCGTCAAGCACAAGTATATGCCGCCTTGCAAGTTTTATCAACGCTTGTTTTTGTGTATGATACACACAGACTGCCTCTTCCCCATGCACACGCCCTGTCGTCTCTTCTCATCTACCTACCCAAGGCACCAACCGCTGACACTACCCATCGCATGCCATGCCATGCCATGCCATGCCACGCCTCGCTTCAAGCTTTCCTTGTGTCTACATTCCTGACTCTCTGAGGCGAACCCAGCGCAGGGCACCTGACAAGGCCTGACTCTGCGCTCGCAACTAGCCCCGGTTATGGGGGGTGTGCCATTCGGCTTTGGCTCTGCGGCATACGCCTGCCTCGGTATCATTTTTACCTTTGGATTCAATCCGTCTCTCTCTCTCTCCCCCTCTCTCACTTCCGCACCCGACCCGGTCAAACACCGTCCCTCTAATCGGGTCTCTCGTGAAGCGGCTGGCTACGTGGCGCTGCGGCTACTTGACTGACTTGTTGTTGCCTTGTTCGATCCGAGGCTAGCTTCCCACTTCTATGTACTTGTCAACCTTCTTACAAGTGCCTTCCCGGCTTACCATGTCGATACATGTGATACGGATACCTCACCCAAGCTCTAATTCCTCACCCCCACCCCCCCACCCAAGTCATCCGCTTCCGTGTGCTCCTTCCATTCATCGTTACCAGCTCAAACCCACCCTCCACTGCGAGAGACATTCCATCACTCACATATAGTTAGTCATTTACACCCACGTCGGCGTTCACACCGATCAAATCATCTATCGCCTGCGTCTCGCTCATTCTGCCTGTTGCTCTGTACGCCTCTTTTACCAGAGAGCCGGTTTCCATATCAAGGAGCCCCCAACTTTAGACATTGCCATGCAGATCGCTGCATAACGTCCCTCGTCCGGCCGGGTTGTCAGCTCCAACTCCATCTCTCCAGATCCGGATCAAGCTCCAGCTCTAGCTCCAGCCTGAGGTTCTGGTCGCTGTCTAATAACAATAACCAACAACCAATAGCAGCCTACCGTCTAAAGAGTTCTTTAGCTCCTTTCACACTCTATCCGTCTCTAACCCTGCCGTGCCGCTACGGCCGCCACGATACCTTGCCTCTAGCGGCGCCGCATCTTTTTGCTTTGTTGGCCACCGGTCCCTCGTGGGCTGCCACGCGCATCGGACACGAGCCAAACCCATGGGCAGGTATCCAGCCGGTTTGGCTTTTTTTTTCCGCGGTACAACCACTCTTAAATTGCATCTGGGTCTCTCTGCCGTGTTACGAGGCCCAGCTTGTTTCCCCTTGGGGCCATCTAGCCACACTCGGATTGAATCTGCCCTACCTTACTCCACGAAACGGATACTTCCTTGACCACAGCGCTGTCTACCGGGTTCATTACTCTTTGGCTCTGCATACACGCTACCTACCATCGGACGATGGTAGGTAGTACTTTTGCCTTTCTTTTTTCCACCCCCCCCCCTCTCTCTCTCTCTCTCTCTCTCCCTCTCCCTCTCTCTCTCTCTCTCGCATGCTGTTCTCATATCTCTGCCAGCCGGGTTCGGATCTTCTTTATAGTCTCATCTATCCCCATCTTGGTGCAGACTTCTCGGGACTTGGAACTTCTGGCATCCATAATTGGCATACTTGTTCCCCTTTGGAGTGAAAGGTAAGTGTCTGCTTGTCCGTGCGTCCCTTCCTCTTCCGCCTCACCTCAACTTCCCGTTCTTCTCACATTCTTGCATACGCACACACGCACACACACTCTCTCTCCCTCATTCGTTTCTCACACACCTACCTTCAAACACCCACGTACCCAGTCCCCCCCCCCCCCCCCCATTTTTAGTCCAAGTCTCCTCTTGGATCATCGTTGCTTTTCCCCCCTTCTTTTCTTCCATTTACCCTTGTGTTGCTTTTCTTATCTTCCTCTTCCTCCCCTTACTCCCTTCCAACACCCGCCGTCTTTTCACTGCTGAATCCTGCCGGCATCGACCCATACATGCATCCCTCCAATGTTATAAGTCTGAACCCTGAGACCACCACTCACATCACCCTCCACACCCACGAACCGTGCCCGCTCCATAGCTTCTCTCATCAGCATCACAGGCTTACCCTGTTATTCTTTGCCAGCTGTGCCCCCTCCCCTCTCCAAGTCTGCATAGACTTGCATCTAGCCTCGCAGCACTAAGCTACGAGCAGCAAAAGTGGTTCTTGGTACAGCTCCATCCAAATCGCGAGCCTCACCGCGAGACCCAACCCAGCACCCACTACGCCCACGTCGACGCCACACAGCCTCCCTCTCCCTGGCCAAGCCTGAGCATCGGGACTCCAACCAATCCTGCTCATCTCAGGGCAAGATCGGTCCGGCCGGCACTTGCTCTTCCTCTGACGAATCGCATCTTGCGTCACGGCAACTCGGTGATTGCTGAGACCCTGGTGCGGCTTCTTTGCCCAAGCAGACCGCGCAAGGACCGGCTTGTAATGTTGGACATCGTCTCGAACGCTGCACCTGGGATCTTCCTAGTGCCCAACCTAACACCAGTTTGACAACCCAGCGCGATATCCACCCTATTCGCTGGTGTTTTGTTTGCCAGAATCTAAACCTCGCTGCCCACTCACACGACATCGACGACTCGTCGCCAGTTCTTTCGTCTTGTCTTCCCGAACTTTCAGGCGTCAGGGCATGAAATAGGCGGGCGCTAGCTTCGCCGAGCTTGTCGCGACAAGCAAGTCTGGACAGTTAACTTCCTTGCTATCCCCATCCTTCACCTCGCCCGTCATCTTCCTTCCCAATCCAAATCATAAAAGCCACTTCTATTGCCTGTCGCCCGAGGAACCTGCCAGCCCATCCCGTGCTGCCCTCTGCGCGGCTCGACATCGGACAGACCCTACGCCGATATCACACATCCGGCTCTCCGACCCCCAAGTCAACGCTCCCTTACCTTTTGTTTCTTTTGACATCTTTCCTATTCGAACCATAACCAGACCAACACCTTATCACGCGAAGTTATTACCCGCCGTCGGTGCCGCCTGGCCGAGTCCAGATCAATCCTCCTTTTCTCTTCCTCTGCGACACGCCAGGTTACTTGTTTTGCGTTTTTTTTTTTTTTTTTGCTAGGTCAAAGCATATACACTTTGGAGGGAGAAAGAGAGGTGAGAGCTCCGCGCGCGACTCTGACCAACGTTCAACCTACAACCCATCGCCAGCCAGTTGGTCTCGTCGCTGGCGTGCTACGCTAGTCTGGGAACAGAGAGGAAGACGAAGAGAGGAAGCGAACGGGTTGAGTCCTCCACCGCGCTCGAACGCCACGACTGGACGGTCCCGTGACCGATCCGACGGCCCAACCTGGCATTGCTCTACACATCGCCAGCTCCGTTGCCGCCGGCGCACACGGCAGGCCTGCCATCGGAGCCGCCCGGCGACAAAGCCCCTCGTGGGATGGATGATCCCAGCCGCCGTCGGAGGCAGAATGAAGCGCCCATGCATCCCACCTCCAACCCAAGATACAACGTCCAAGATCCCTTGCAGCAGCGCCGCACCATGGCCACAGGTTCTACAGAGCGATACAACCGGCCGGCGCCACTCAACACTTCGCCCTCGCAACAGCGGGGCGGCATGGGAGGCACGGGTAGCTACAGCACATACAACTATCAAGAACCGGTAGCGGGCTCTTTCAACGCGCCCATGGCGACTAACACGATGCATTACCCCTCGGGCTATGGCCAGGATGGCCGCCCCGCGCAGAATTTTGGCGGATACAACGCGGCCATGACCATGGGATACGACAACCTGGCTGGCGCGACGGGCTCCGTTTACGATAACCAGGCACAGTTCCAGCGGCAACCCGCAGCTGCTCCCATCCTGCCAACGGATGTGTCGACGTCGTACTTCTCCAACGATCCGAGCAGTAGCACAGGAACGTCCAATATTCCCCATGCGCAACCCGCGACTGCCAACGCAACGGCATACCAACAGCCGCAGATGGCAAACTACCAGACCAACATCTCCAACGTGGGCGGGATGCCGCAGCAGACAGCGAGTGCCGACGTATCAATGGAAGAGCAGGACTACGCTGCCACGGGTGGCTTGGAAGAGAAATGGATGGAATACCAGTCAGCACTGCGGGGCGTCTTCCAGAACGTCCGCAACGGCGTGCTCGAAAGCGCTAGTCAGTCGCTCTTGGATGTATCGAACTGGCTCCTAACGCAGGTTGTTGATCTCGGTAAGCACTGAAAAGCACACGCGCCATGGCCCTGGCTTGGCATTTTAGGCCTCATTATTGACAAGGGCACTTGGCTTCAGGTCTCAACCTTGATGATCAAAATCTACACGGAGACCGAATCAAGCTCTGGAACGACTTCAACCACGCGTGGCTTGCACTCTTCCAGATGCAGAAGGACATGATGGAACCGGGAAGGCAGTTGCAACGATCGCAAACCCTCGTCACCAAAGAAGGATTGGAAAAGATGGGCAAAGAACTGATTCGGCTTTGCGACGGCATTGAGCGCCACGGCCTCGTCGACTACCAATATGGAGTTTGGGAGCAGCAGATTATCGAGAGTAAGTCTTGGGCAAACCAGCCCCCACCCCGCCCAGGAGCATTCATAAGCGGGCACGGGAAGCTGACAATCCCTCGCTCCCCAGTTCTCGAGGCCTGCCTTGATCAGTACGAGGCAAACGAAGAATCAAGTGGCAACGGCGGCGGAGCACAAACAGGCTCCGGTTCCCACCAAGGGAGTAGATAAGGGAAGGGCCGTGGAAGGGATCGACTGGCTACTTAAGCCTGAGATCAACCCCCAATAAACGAATACCTCTCGGATCACCACGCACGCCCATGTCGGCCTCGGTTTCCTTCCTCCTCCCCTCCCCTTGCCAAATGTACATTCTCGGCATTTGGGGATTCTTGTTACGAGAGACGTACAACAAACACGATGACACGCGGATTTGGAGTTCATGAAGGAGGGTATCTGCTCTCATCATTCTCGCATCTCAACAGGCGGTTGGGCTGGTATCAGGTATCTATGTCAGCATCCCTAACGGGGCGCCCATTCACAGTTTCTTTCTTTCTTTTCCCCCTCCTTTCTTTTGAGACAGTTCCTTGCTCGCCTTCTTGGGAGATGCATGGCACACATCCCACCGGTACATACCGACCGGTCGTCTGCTCCCGAGTCAAACGAGATGCTAGGGGGAGTAGGCAAGAGAGAGGGTGAGATACGCGCTTCTTTTTAAGGGCGTATGCAGTAAGGGGTGTGTGTGGGAAGGGAGGCTTTTTGAAGGGAAGAAAGGAATTTACTGTACACGGGACGGTCATAAGTGGGCGTACCGGGAAGCATTTTTCTTTTCTTTTTTTTTTCTTTTATTCTGGAGGGAATACGAACAATGAATGCGATGGGCGGGGTGGGTGGCCAACGAAAAGCGAGGAAAAGTGAGGCCGGATACTTGCAAACGACGAGATGATAACAAAAAAAGGTATGTATGTTGAGAAGCCGACAGACGGTAGAGTAGGTGTACGGAGGAGGAGGGAGGGGCGTGAGTGTATTTACCTACGTGTGTGTGTGTGTGTGTATGTCTGTCTGTGTGTGTTCTTCCTGTTGTAGAATTCATGTATACCTAGGGAGGTTGCTGTAGATCAAGCCGGTATACTCTCACGAGTACGTTGTGGGAATGGGGGGAGGTTTTTGTTTTTGTTTTTGTTTTTGCTAATGCCTGGTCACTCTTGGGCATAGTCTTGCTTCTTTCATGGTCGGCTTTTCATGTCTGCTCGCTCTTTTCTTCTTTCTATCTTTGATTTCGCTTCTCTTCTGGTCCGGAGGGCAACCTCGGGGCGACTGTGTATGTATTGTATTTACGCACGTAACTTTGTAACCCTTGTTACAATCAAAGATACGAATTGACGCATGATCAACATCGAGTTTCCTGAAATTTGGCAGCCGAGCGCTGTACATGTCCAAAATCCAGAATCGCAGGCACGCAACCCCGAGTAAAAGAGAGGTAAAGATAAGAAGAAAGAGCATTGGATCATGTTGCTGGGTTCACATTGGATCTGAGTTTAGCTAAACGGGGGAGGAAAGAGGGGAAAGGCAGAAAAAAAAAAACACACACACACACACACAGACGCACTTTGGGGATTGACGAATGTGGTCGTTGAAGATGCTGCCTGCCTCGGCGGCGCCTCACCGTCGATCTTTTTGCCCTACGGTTATTTAATGAAGTGCGTGCGATATGTCGACATGGCTTCCCTGAACATCTACTTGTAAGCCTCATGCAGGTGATCGGCCCAGGCCGGCGTATCTGGGCTACGTATCGGGCAACGACAACCCCCCCCAAGGCCCCAAGGCCCGTCGCCACGCGAGAGGCATGCGGGCGGCGGGTGCGAGGTTCCAAAGCCCGGCAAACCGAGCGGGAGGAGACAAGGCCGGGGAGGGGTGGCGGCTGATAAGTCGAGTCGTTCGTGCCCACTCGGTCCGCCTGGGCTGCTGGAACAGGCGGTGTGTGAGTGCTTGACTGGCTGGCCTCAACATGAAGACGGCCGCCGCCTGCGCCGATCTCCCGCCCCGCGGGGAGAAAACTACGTATCTAGATGGACAGCAGTCTAGGTACTGCAAGCACAGGAGCGCATCAAACCTCTGGTTGGTCGGGGGCCCGGTCTTTCAAAAGGTGGTGTCTATGTATGCACGCGCTCGCGCGACTCATCTCCGCAGCTTGGGGAACTGAGGACCCTTGGAGGTTTTGGTCGATCTCGCCTTGCGTGGGTACTATTCCCAGTGCACCGCATTCGTTAACCTCGGCTTCGCATTGCCTCTAAGTCGGGCAGCAATCCCAACCTGACTGACGGACTGCTCTCAAACCCCGTGGTTTCCAAAGGGTTTGTTTTTGTGTCCGGGGGAGTTGGAGAATACAACGTCTCGGCTTGCGATTTGCCATCCGGGCGTATTCTGAAAGTGTGAATAATCCGCCCATTACGACATGAGACCTCCGTCTGTACGTGGCCTGCGGTATGTGCGGCAAGAGACGACTGCGAAACCGTCTGCCGACTGGGGTTGTCTGCATGCCACTTGGCATGTTGTCTGATTGTCAAGTTGTATGCGGGATTGGCGCCTGCAATTCGGCGGGCCAATACGAGTTGCTGGTCAGACGCGTGTGGCAAAAGGGTGCATGTGTCGCAAAGCAGCGCAAGAAGCAAAGCAATCAACAACCGAGCCGGTAGCAGCCTATTATTGTGACTGGAACACGACCGGGTATAGGCTGGATATGAGTGCGGCCGTGACGTGATGTGACAAGTGATCAGAACCTTGCATGATGCCAGGCGAGACGAGGACGACAAGGCAGGGTTTTATTCCATCGTGCGTATAGAGCCCGGCTGTTTGGGACTTTTGGTGCCAAAGCGTTTGCCAGCGGCCACTCCTCTTCCTGGCTCAACCAGCCATACTCTCCGTGCCAATGCGGACGTATTGTGGGATATATGATAGAATGGCTCGGGAATGCAGTAATGGCTGTCCGTATTGTCCTGCCCGTTCCTTCATTTTGCGTAGGCGCAAGGGAGGGAAGGTCGCCGGTGAAAAGGGTAAGGGGAAAAGCAAATACTGAGGCCAGACGAGGCATGTCGTGAGGCGGAGTAGGACAGGGGAGAAACAGGGTGTTGGCTTTGATCCGCGAGAAACGGGATACCAAGCCGAAGATCACCGGGGTTCTATCATGTATTGAGACACGGCTGAGAAGCCAACCCTGTCCGCGTGCGAAAGCAGGGCTGCCCGTCGGGGAACACGACAACCTGTCGTTATTTGCGTTGAACGATGAAGCGAAGCGAACCAGAATTCCGGCGACATAACGGATGTTCACGACCTCGGACGGGCGTTCCAGAGGCCTGTGGATCCGCGATGTCGGTTTTAAGCCCGGGGGGCTCTTGGCCGATGTGTGTGGACCGAGCCAGCCCATCCCAACTTTGTTGAAGCGGGAAAAGACGTAGATCTCGGGGATATTCTGCATCTGGCCGTTTGAGTGGCATACAGGCGTCAGGGTTCGAATGGTTGTAGAACGGCCAAGCCGTTTGGCTTGAAGGGGCCTAGCAGCGCCGGATGTTAGCAAGCATACCCGTACCCCTCGACTTGCGATCCTCTCCTTGTTCCACCCTAAAATTTCCCAGTGCCGTGGTCGGGAAGGGTTGTACGGACAGGGTTGACACTTGCATATTTTTTTCTTCTTTTGCGTTGGCTTGCATATCAGTAAATGTGAGCTGTCACTTTTCCAACACTTGGACCCACCGCAGATCCTATTCCGGAATGAGGAAAACAGCCCCTGTGCGTGAACAGACATGATCTGTCCATCCTTGCAAGCAAGAGGACCATAGTGGAGCTTTGAAATTTGTACCCATACCTACATGTACAACTTCTAGTCATCGGTTCCTGAGCCGGATCTTCTTTGGTTGTTCGTCCACATTCACCTAGCGGGTAATGCCGTCCCGGCAGGCTCGGGGTGGGGTCTATGTGATAGGTGGAGCCTTCCACCTCCGGGTTCGGCCGGAACTACCACTCCACTCCGTCTTGTTCTGGACAGTTCTGAGTTTCCGTAAATATTAGATGACATGACCCTTGGACCTTGGACGAAGCCCAAACACAAGACGCAGGGGGGGTGATTATGATCGTGTCTTTTTCGCGGTAGTATTTATCACTAGTAAGGCTACTGAACAACACTCTGGATTTCTCAAGAGACGAGGCAAAGGGTCGTGTTGAAAAGCGTGCCACCCAAGACCAAGAGTCTCTGATCGACCTGCGGCTAGAGCACTGTAATACAGCACGTCCGTCAGCTGCTATGCTTTCGCATCTGGCGATTCCGTGACGCATACCTTGAATAACATTATCGGGTGCAACAAGCCAATGGACTGGTCGCAGGGTCGTGCGCCTTTCCAGCCGGATAGAACCCGCTGTCGCACCATTGGAAGAGTCTCACCTGGCCAGGCCTCGGATCTAGAAGCCACATGTTCATTCTGTTGAATTGGCATCGGCTTTTCACGCACTTCAGCGGTTGTATCGTCGTAGCCTGGTGTGACGCAACCGTGCAAAGATCGGATCAAGAAGCTACAATATGTCTTCTCGCGGTCGCCTTCAGCGTAGGGTCATGGTATGGAGGAAGTGGGATTCTCTCGACCGTCGAGACAATCGAAATGGCTGTCCGTCACTTGGAGGATTTTTGCAGTTGAGTCAGATGGCTGCCGTACTGCCGTTAATCTGAGCGGCGCTGCGACTTGCTGAACACTGCTGTGTGGTCAGTAGTGTTGATGCGGGTAAGGCTAATCGACCATGGGTATGTCTGGGGACGTCAACCCGCGATTGATTCTCGAGACACACTCCTTGTGCCCATATCTTGTGCGACACGTTTAAGCAGTGTCAACAGACAATTCATTGCCCTAATCGTCGGATTGTGGCGTGTCAGGTCTCATACATACGGATAGCCCAACACGGGAAGACAATCTTACATCACCCGTAGTCTGGTGGATCAAGGGAGAACCATGTTGCGAATATAATATAACAGCAGGCATGGTAGAGAACACCTGATGCGACATATACACTCAATTCTTGCCATTGAGAAATGGAGGGAGTCCCATGCCCACGGATTGCAACAAGTATGGTAAAGATTTGCCGCTATTCAGCATGGAACTCTGGAACTTGAAATCTCGGGCGTGCAGAATCCATTGAACCTCACGGTTCGATATAACTCTTGTCTGACCCGAGACAAACGAATACAGAAAAGATCGACCTCTGCTAGACCAACAGGTTTGACGTCAAATTCGAACATGCCATCTTGTCACAAGCCCGCGCGTTGGTACCCGTCAAACCGCAGTTGCCCAACTATCATGAGATCACTGGCATAGCAAGCGCAACCTTGCAAGTGTCATAAGTCAGATAATACTGGATATGACGAACATACGGCAATATGAACAATAACCCAGGAAAGAAGATAGAGCAAAGGGTTGCGCTCCCATATTTATACTGTTCCATTGATGCTGAACGAGGTTCGAGGATGGACCCGGCCAAACAAACAGGAACCTCACAATGGCCCTGACGCAGAACAACCCTAGCCTCTCCTCCCGTCGTTTTCTCCCCAGATTTCCTGAGTAGGCAACTAAGCGAATTTCCTGCAGTATCCTCATTAGCCAGATATCCCCATATCTGAAAAGACTGTCGTGAGCTGTTAAAAACAGGACTACGTTACACATCTAGCGTTGGGTGAAAGCACGCAACTCGCGGATGCCCATGCCCAAGAACGTGATGGCTAACACCACTGGCAGCAATTTGTTCAGAACTCCGGATATTTCACAGGGAAAAAGCTTGATATGGATTGTCCTCTTCTGAGCCTGGCGCAAAATTACATACGGCGGGTCGTCTTGCAGCTTATAAACCCTCGCAGCAATGAAATTGCCGCCTCAAATCGTCACATCTTCGTCTCAAGCGTACAAGGTGGCGTGTTGAGAACCGGGAGCTATGAGTGCCGACGAATTCCGTCACAGTGTCGAAAGTGAGGTGGTACCAGTCAGTAGCCGCGGCCAGTTATTGCGGATAGCATTCATTTACTTGGATGAAGCATTATGGGATAGCAGAGGCGTGTTTGATGTTGTTGATCAACTTCACACACGTGTTTGGTCGTTTGGCGAGGGAGACCTTAAGTTCAATCGGTAAGGTTCTTCTATAGAACAAACTGTGTGGTTGTGAAAGGACGAGCTGACCGTAGAAGCACCCTGGACACCCTAAGGCAGACAGACCATTGCATGCTTGCGAGAGGACTATCCGAGCGTCCAGCCGTACTCAGAGACCCAGGCCTGCTTCTGGCTCAAGTACATGAAGATAAATTCTCCTGGCGAGCCGTCAAAGGAGGCGTGGGAACCCAGCGAGTTCGGTATCTCTGTCGCGCAAGGTGCCTTTGATATGGGGGCTTGGGAGCGTATTACTCATGGGAACGATGGGAGGCTGTCAACACGTCGTGTCTTGAGCCGGACCTGGACGGGACGCGTAAAAGCGAGGTTGATTGGTGCGGTTGGCCGGATGGCGGAGTGGGTGAGCAGACGCGGAGCAGAAGGTGGGAGCCGGAGGTTGGGAGCGAGGAGGAGGTTGCATTCTTGGCGGCTGAAAGAGACTGAGGGCGTTAATATGGGAGACCTGGACTATGCGATTCGGTCACACATTCTTCGTGGTGTGATGCGTGCTGCTTTCGAGGTTGAGAAGGGACAGCAGGTGGAAGAGGTTAAGCAGCGGATGGTTGCTGCGGGTAGGATTGACGAGACTAGAGCCGAGCAGTGGATTCGAGAGGCGCTGGTGGTGATGGAGCCATACGTGCGCAATAATGATAGACGGCCTGCCTCTGAAGAGGGTTGGGGTGAATTGCTGCGGCAGATTCTGGTCGAGAATGGACAGCTGTTTGCAAGATGGAAGCTCTCAGACTCTTCCAAAGAGTTCAATTTCGAGCTAAAACCAAGGAAGTAGAGCCGGCCGGATGTTCCTCTGGCAGCGACATGAGAATAACAATACAAATAACTCTGACTTTGTTTTCCACGTTGTGCACTATATTGATATTGTCGCTACTTATACTGTTTGAGGATGGACACGGCACATTCCACCCGTGATGGGTTGATCAACGCCGCCTACAAGCTGAAGTATTGTGCATCGAGGTCTGATCACGGCGATGCTGAGAAGGCGGCTGCATAGCAGGGAGTAGTACGATCGGAGTCTCTAGGCATCGCCGACCATGTTGCCAAACCCGAGAGGGGCCTCGGCCTGGTAGTTTTTTGAACGCCAAGCTGATGCGGTCAATGGTTATCACACAATGACCCTGCCTGGCATCACCACTACCCGCAAGTTTTTACTTCACATCCTGTACATTCAAAGCATGCAGGGGGCCGGAGAGTGTTGCAGTTTTGTCCTTTTCAAGCGGAATCCCATGAATCGGAGAACAAACATAGCTAGGAGTATTTACGTTGCGACCTACCGGAGATTCATGGGGACACCTTGACAAACTACGAGGAACGTGTGCATGGGAGAGGGTTGCCGCCTTGGATACGAGCTCTACATGTAGTCAGCCTGCTTCTTGAAGTGAAGAAGCCATGTCTCTCTCCAAGAGAACGAGGACATCACCACCGTGGACAGGCAAAACACAAAAAAAACATACAACACCAGGTATTCGCACCTCCATAACAGTGACAACCTAGTAGCACAACCAATTTTTTCTTTTCTTCCTACCACCCACCTGCCTTGAGCACCAGTACAAAAGAAGTAAAGAAGAGCCAGATCGAGACCTTACGCCCTACCCACTTCTAATACACTACGCTCACTCACTACCCATATTTCTCAAACTACATCAAACACGACAATTACTGTAATTCCATTGAGACAACCCATCACATCCGCACGCGAAGAGGACCACTAATCAAAACCTCGATTGAGCCCGCAAACTACATACTCACTACCAGCCACATAGCTAGTACAGAGACGGAGAACTCCAAGACATATTCCCACTTGACTGGCTCTAGTCCACACGCGGAGTCACGCAGACAATCAAGACCATTGACCATCTACTCCGCGATATCACACCTACAATTAACCAAAGTCCCACTCCTGGTCAATCCCTCGATCAACCACCTAGCTCCAGTTGTGGAACATCACTACCTACCACACCTCCACGACCCATCGAAGTCTTGGAACCCAAAACCCACCATCACGCTGTGACGCATCACTTATGTCGTCAGTTGCCTCAAACGCCAAGCTTTCCTCGCTCCTTCTTCTGGCATCTGGACCTGAATCCTCACCAACAGCATCATGCTGTCTAGTCGCGATAAGCGAGAATCAGCACCACCACCCCATACAGGACTTTTGAGAGACGAGACACTTGTCCTCCGGCAACTTCTCGGATACAGCGATGTCGATTCAGCAGCACCAAGTTTTCGACCAAAAAGCCTTGGTAATAGGCTACAGCAATCTTCTATGAGGGATGTTCTCATTGTCGGCCTTCACATCGACACATATCAAGGATACGACCAGCTTGTTGCAGACCAACAGCTACATATTGGAGTCTCAATATTAGACACCAGGGTTCTAGAAGACATGCTTTTGAACCCAACTACAGCAAATTATCAAGAAGCTATAACATCATATCAGTCCACAGTAGGAGAGTCAGCATATTGTGAAAGGGCATCAAGAAACTTTCTTTTCGGCTTATCACAACCTATCAGTATTACCGAGCTCAAACCGACCATAGATGCTCTCCTATCAAGTAGGGACTACGTTCTTGTCCTTCATGGTACACACTCGGATTTTAAGATTCTTCAGCATCTTAAAATCGATCTCCCAACTCAATCACTTTACGTTATCGATACCAACAAGGCTGCACAGTCTCCTCTCAAGCTATATTATCGGTATAGCTTAGAGAGATTACTTGAAGTATTAAAAATACCCTATGCAAACCTGCATGCTGCTGGAAACGATGCGCACTATTGTTTACGAGCGCTACTTATGATAGCGGTATTTGATGTTGAGCGCCACCCGTTCAGACAGTATGAAGCGTTACTACCCCTGTTCAGAGCTGTAGCACAAGCACCTAGGCCATTAACCCGGGGGGAAATTTGGCGAATGGAAGAACCTCAGCGCGAAGCTCATCGAGAAGCAAAAAGTCAGTCAAATTCCAGAAGAAAAGCCAGACGGGCGGCCAGCACTAGTAGAAGACTCCTCGAAAGGTTGGATCGTGAGAAAGGTCAGACGCAGAGTGCAGAAACGGATCTGATGGCACAGTCTAGTCTCTTGGACATCGGAGATGAGCCCGAGGGCCCCCGATGAGTGCACATTATGGCCATATCGGTTGTGGGGATGGATACCAGGAGCACGACGTCACAACCACGTCCCCGCAGGGAGCCTAAGATCCAATCCCTGCAGGAAACCTGACATCGTTGCAAGACTGGTAGATGAGAAATGTCTCTCGAGGGCGCACATTTCGGGCGGGACTGCTACTACGCCTTTGGCATTGGGCGAGAAGGCACTACCATTAGATTTGGATAGACTTCGACTGGCCAGGAACCAGATGAGCAGATGTGATGGGGTCGCCGGCGGTCCTACACGGTGAACTGTTGCCACTACATTGTCAGGGCATAGTAAGCATTTTGGTTCAAGATAGCAATCAAATAGTTTCCTGGAATACAATGCCCGTTCTTTTTGCAAGGTGTCAAAAAAGAAAGATATGAAGGCTTAGGTTTTGACAAGAGCAGGAAAATGGTTGTCTCTGAGGACGGAAATAAGTTCTTGTCCTCAACCTGTTATACTTGGAAGACCACCGGAGCCCATACTCTTATCTTGTGCAACAGCGAATGGTATAAATGCAATGTCGAGCACGTTATAACCTATTAATGAATGATTGCCGAGATGCGTGCGCTTGTCATGGTGTGACATAGAGATCGAAGAGAAGAGACGTCACACGGGGCATGCCTTAAAGTAATTGTGCAAGCAGATATGGCGGGAAACAGTCAGAAACGGTTAAGCGGTTTGTAGGGATCGTATCCGTACAAAACGGAACCTATTATTTCTTGGTGGTCGACCAATATCCGACTTAAATACTTGCCCTCACTGGCTTATCTATGGGAGAGCGGACGGGATCCCGAGTTCTCCAGTGGGTATGGTCGTATGTGATATGACGCGGCTCCTGATGTGGTTATAACAGCCTGGTGGACGATGATGAGGAAGATCTCAAGACGGTATCTGTTGTATATGGAATTCATTACTTTAGCTCAGTAGCCTCCAGCCTTTGCCTTAGTATCCTTTGATACACATCTAGATAGACATGTATACATATCTGATACATGAGCCGGCTCTACTCATGATGGAATACAAGAGACCATGTGACGGGACCGCGATCAGCTCGGAAGGTTGTACAAATATGAGCATCGGCGACTCAGGCTGCTGAAACCCAGAAACTTCAATTCAGGCTCAAACGGCGGCCGCGGCGCCGCCTCGGGGTAATGGTATACCTCTACCTAGAAGGGTGTTGCAATTCATGTCTCGTGATCCTAATGCGCACGCGCGCCGCCACCATGCTTTATTCTAGAATGTGTCTGCAAAGATAACGCACGTTAGCTTAACCCTCGATATAGCAGAGCATGCGATATAAAACTGAGTCGGAAACTCACCCAAGGTCATGCTCATGCTGACATCCGTGTTCTCGACCATCTTGGTAAACTCCTCGAAGCTGATCTTGCCGTCCTTGTCCAGGTCCGCCTCCATGATGGTTTTGTCGACGATCTGCTGCAGCTGCTGGTCCTTGAGGTTGCTGCCAACCATCATCTTGAGGACAATGAACAGCTCGCCGTTGCTGATGTAACCGTCGCGGTCGATGTCGTACACCTTGAAGGCAAAGCGCAGCTTCTGCTCCTTGTTGCCCTTGCTCGAGAAAGCGCTGAGGCCGGACACGAACTCCTGGAAGTCGACGTCGCCGCCGCCGTCCTCATCGAAGATGGCAATCATTCTGTACAGGGAGCGCCGTCAGCAACATAATTCGGGTGGTGTATTTGGTCGGAGACGGGTCGGCTACCTTGTGGCTAGCGGGTTGGAGGAAATCTGGGGGAGGCTGAGGAACTCATCGCGCTCGATCGTGCCAGAGTTGTCCTGTAAAGGAGTCGGTCAGCATGGGAGATTGGTTCACCGAAGAGGAAACAACAGGAATGAAGTGTCGCAGGAAAACACGCCTTATCCAGCTTCATGAAACGTTTCCTTAGACGGTCAACCTCATCTCTGTCGACTGCCTGCGCGTCAGCACGCCCGAGTCTGTGCGATAAAGAAGTCGACTGCGGGGGAGGGGCTCACAGTTGGACCCCTGGACAATATTGTCCAACACCGCACTAGTAGTGTTGCCCATGATGGAAAATGTGAGCGATCGGTCTCGACTAAAGCTGTGAGGATGCGCAGTGTGTGCGAGTGTGTGTATAGCTGGGGCAAATGCTCGGTCGAGGAGGCTTCGTCGTAGGTAGGCTTTATGTCGAGCTTGAGTTCGCTAGGCGGCCGTGGGGTTAGCCTTGGAGGGTGGGTGGGTTAGGATGTTGACAAGTGCAAGGCAGACTAGGACAATGTACATTAGGTACGGGCGTGGGGTGGTCAAACTAATGACAGGAGCCGAACAGGCGCCGGATTGGACTGGGCGGGGTTGGACGTTGATTCGGGCAGCTGGACAGGCGACCTTAGGTGCTGAGCCTGAGACGGCAGAGCGCACCGCCTGCGCAGGATGCGTGCGCACAGACCATTTTCTGGATTAAGTCACCTCCATTTGATAGACGTAGACGTGAACGGCAGGCACAAAGTGTCAGATGTATCAACACTACTATTTGAGTTTCGGGAAGATAGCATGAGAACAAGAAAAAAAAGATTGAAACTGAGGGTCGCTTTTTCTTATTTGTTCCCAAAATCGCCCACCATCGTCCGATATATCGCCGCCCATCTCATGTTGCGTTTTCGCAGCATCAGATTCGACTGGCACGTGACGTACAGCTTCCCCTATTTTCAGGCGGCTTTTGGACAGGTGCCAGTCACTTTCACAGTACGTCGGCGAGTCTTTGCTTCCCAAGTCCGATCCGGCTGCTGGTCCGAGCGTCTCCAAAGTACCAACTCCGCGCATTTACTACTGCGTGGTACTTCTTCTCGACGCGTGCTACTCAACCCTTCTTCGAAAGTCCTGGACTGAAAACTCTGCACCCGCGAACATCAACGTCACCTCATCAAGCAGCGACAGCTCGGCCATCAATCCAAACCCAACAACGTCGATTTTTATCCCTCAAATCTGCAAAAGTCAGTGTCGCATGACCCCCTGTATGACTTGATCGACTTTTTTTTGCGGATTTTCCGCTGGCTTTCCGCCTTCGACCCCCCCCACCCGCCATCATGTCTACCAGGAAAGTCCGAGTCAAGAAGTTGAGCGTCAAGACGCTTCTTCCTGTGCTCAGAGAGGATGATATCGACGCTGCAGAGAAGGAATCTTTGACCACCGAAACCCAAATCGCGACCGGTGTCGAAGCAGCCGAGGAAACAGTAAGCCACTACTCCCTCCGTATTGCTGCCAGATATCACGTGACCCACCATGTGACACGCCTCGATACACCCCGCTTATCCACTTATTACCTACTGCCCGCCGTCGGCGATCCAGCCCGTATACTGACCTGGTGCCTTTAGGAATACCATCTCCAATCCATCCTCAAAGAGGCCGGTACTAGCAATGACCAAGAAATTCCTGTCCCGCCTCCTCAGGAGAGCCAGATCAACTATGATCTGCTTTATCCCAGTCACTTCCGGCAGCCTACCTCCTACATTCGTTTCTCGCAGACTGTCGAGGAATGCATAGGAGTTTCCTATGACATGACAACAGAAGACGATGAATTTCTGAAGCAGTATAACTCCACCAAAAAGACTGTCGCCTCTCAACTGTCAGAGGATGACTTTGAACGCATTATGGAAGTGTTCGAGGAGACTGCCTCTGAACAGACCCCCTTCGCATCAATAGACAACACCGTTGTTGGCTATGATTTGATGGTCCCCTCACTTACCTCGCTCGGTGGCAACAAGCTTATGGCACATGCCAAGCATGTGTATGAGCACTGGAAGTCGCGCCGGCAATCGCTCGGCAACAAGCCCATTCATCCCAGCGTCAAGTTTGAGACGCACCAGGAGAGCGATGAGGCTGATCCCTATGTCTGCTTCAGACGTCGCGAGGCCAGACAGACGCGAAAGACGAGACAGAGAGACGTCCAGAGCGCCGAGAAACTCAAGCGACTTCGCAGAGAACTCGAGGATGGCCGACAGCTCATCATCCAGTCTTACGAGCGGGAGATGCTTAAACGTGAACTACTCACCTTTGACCGCGCTATATTTGAGCAGAGAGCCAAGCTTAAGGAAATGAAGGTTAAGCTCGGCATCAAGACTGAGGACGAAGACCTCATCAACCACAAGGTATGTGATATCCCGCAGCCCAAGGGCCTGGAGATGGGTGCTGACGGAGCACAGCCTCCCAAGAAGAAGCCTGTAGAAGCGCCCGCTCTTCAAAAGCCACCTGGCTGCCATCTTCGCATTGCTGTGCGTCCGGATGGCCGGTCCATGGAGGCAGATCTCTTGCAGCTGGCGGATAAGCTTGCTGAAAAGGAGAACGAGTTGCGGGCGGATGTTGAAAGCAAGGTCCACAACCATAGGAAGTGGAACCAGAACCATGTGGATCTCACCAGAGATCCCCTATCACCGGTCAGGGAACAGGGCATGGAGGCTAGCTTCCGACCGGCCAAGACCCAGTACCTCATGACACCCCCGGCGTCCACATCATCCGAGTCGGAAGCCATGGACGTCGACGATGAAGCAGAACCATTTGTTGATAGAGGTAACATGCCGGTGTTCCAGTTCAAGGCGGGAGGCAAGGAGAAGCCCCCCAGCAGCCAACCAGCGTTCCGTCGTCGTATTGGACGGCTAGGTCGTTTGTGGATCGACCGTCGGGGAATGACAACACCGCCGAGGATGGAGGGTGAGGAATATAGTGATCGATGGAAGTATGACCAAGACGACGAGGATGAGACACCTGTGTACGAGGTCGACCCGTACGACACACGGGCGTTGAAGTTCCGGGCCACCATCCCACTGTCGCAGTACGTCTACCAGCGCCGGCAGCTTCCGCACGAGGGCTTGGCCAATGGCCAGGCGCCTCCACAAGCAGCAGGAGTAGCTGGCAACCGGCCGACTTTGCCGCAGCCTGCAACGCCACAGGCACAAGTGGCACTGCAACAGCAACAACAGCAGCGGCACCCATCGCAGTCATCGCCGCCAGCTCAAGTCGCACCACCTCAAGTCGCGCCGCCTCAGGCGCCGCCAGCTCAGGCTGCTGCCTCATGAGAGATGGACAGGCTGTCGAGACGCGAATATCTGCTCATCGTCCCCGGATGACGTTTGTTGTATACCCCCATGGTGTTTGGTTGTCTTTTGGTTTTGTACAGAAAGCCTGGCAGCAGGTTGGACGGTCGGGTTGGCATGGCGTTTTTGAGTTGTGGTAGCTCTCATGTAAAGTATATGAATCTAAAGGCGGCATGGCGATGAGGAGTTGGGAGGCAGGCGGCCTGCCTAGACCAGTGCATTAGGCGAGGAAGATAGACCCCCCACCATGATGAAGAAGATCAATATTGACCTTCCATGTTTGAGACCACTGCCATCCTTGTACAAGTGTTCATTGTGTATAGAGGCGGGATGGGGCTCGTTTCTGGTGCGCGCTCGCCCGATGCTTGTGAATGTGATGCTTGCGGTCGTCATGACGGCGGTGGTCAACGTCATGTGCTTTGGCCTCAAAGTCTCGGAGACGTCGCCAGGTGCTCTGTGGTGCGTGCTTGTGTGCGGCAAGCACAAAGGAAGATGGACGTGTGAATGGAAGATTCTGGCGTCTTCGTGAGCATCAGCCAGCCTCTGGTGGTGTTGAGCGGGGATGTGCTATGTGAGGTGACTCGGAGATTTTGCGACGAACAGGTGGTCCGGCGCGGCATTCTGCGAAAATGGGTGATGACACCCCAGGCAGACTCCTGGATCCGGCAAAACCCTCTCCTTCGGGAAACTCGAGGAGGGAAGGCTGCGAAGGGGGCGGCCCAGACAGGCCTGGTAGGTTGTAAAGGAGAAGAGAAGTCAGAATGCCCGGTGGTGGTGAGGTGTCAGCAGACTTGGACCTTGGTTTATTCCAAGGCCCCCCATTCGGCAGAGCTGTACCCGCAGATCCTCTCGATGATCACAAGGGGCCCGAAGTCTCGGGTGCGCTGTCGTTCACCAGAAGGGGGTGGGAAAATAAAAACATGTAGAGGGGAATGCATGACTTGGGAAATACGGCACAGAAGAGGGGGGAGGGCATTGGAAAGAGGAGTAGACGAGAAAACTAAGTAGAGAAAGAATTGTGTAGTGAAGAAAGAGGAGAGTCCACTTCTTGTCGAGGCTTGTCGGATAGTGTGGGTGTGGGGATAATTGCGTTGCACCTCCGGTGTACCTTGTATGGCCCGGCTTCTTGTACTCTCCGTCGTGTGCTTCCCAGGTTCTCGCTGGAGTGACAGCGTTTTCTACCCGCCGCTGTTCAGGAAGCATTGAGATGTTCGATTCCTGGGAGGATTGGTTTCCTACGAGACGGCGTGAGCGCGAACGGCATTTGCCGGAGCGGTGGACGGGAGGAGAAGGTCAGCGTACCGAGAGGGAAGGCTGGGCTGGGCTGGGCTGAGCTAGGGTGGTCACGGTTGTTGCGCAAAAGCCAGCCCAGGGCAGAAACGCTAAGGGTCGGTTGTGGCAGTTGTGCAATTCAGCATCCTGAGGTGCGCTTGGGGAGGGCCCGGCCGGGGCAGGGGGGGCCAGTAGATTACGATTGTGACCCACAGTTCTTTTTATGGAGGGGCGGGCGGCATCCCACCAACGACGTTAGTCGTTACCCCTCCTACGTCAACTTTTTTTTCTATAGGCCTCGGCCATAGGCCCCTGTTGCGACAGCGAGATAGAGAGAGAGTCGAGATACTGTACGGATCTCTGGATTGGAATACCGGGCACGTGTACATCTTGTTACCTAGACACAGCAAGCTACCACCATCACCACAGCCCAAAGTAATGGCCGAATCCCCCTCCAAGCTGACGACAGCAACCATGTCCAAGAAGCGCGGCCTCCTCGCCCTCGGCTGCGAAGGCTCCGCCAACAAACTCGGCATCGGCGTGATGCTCCACAACGGTACCGAGTCCACGATCCTCTCCAACGTCCGACACACCTTCGTGTCGCCGCCTGGGACGGGTTTCCTCCCCAAGGACACGGCCAAGCACCACCGCGCTCACTTTGTCCAGCTCGCGCGCCGCGCCCTCCGCGACGCCGGCGTTGCCCCCGCCGACCTCGACTGCGTCTGCTTCACAAAGGGCCCCGGCATGGGTGCGCCACTGACCTCGGTCGCCGTCGCCGCCCGCACCCTGAGCCTGCTGTGGGACAAGCCTCTCGTAGGAGTAAACCACTGCGTCGGCCACATCGAGATGGGCCGCACCATCACCGGCGCCCAGAACCCCGTCGTGTTGTATGTCAGCGGCGGCAATAGCCAGGTCATCGCCTACGCCGAGCAGCGGTACCGCATCTTCGGCGAGACCCTCGACATCGCCGTGGGTAACTGCCTCGACCGCTTCGCGCGCACTCTCGAGATCAGCAACGACCCGGCCCCGGGGTACAATATCGAGCAGCTCGCCAAGCAGGGCCGCCGGCTGCTCGAGCTGCCGTACGCCGTCAAGGGCATGGACTGCTCCTTCTCGGGCATCCTGGCCTCCGCGGATATACTGGCGGCGCAGATGAAGGCGGCTCAGAAGAGGGGCGAGGAGACGTTTACGCCGGCAGACCTGTGCTTCTCGATGCAGGAGACCGTGTTCGCGATGCTGGTCGAGATCACGGAACGGGCCATGGCCCACGTTGGCAGCAACCAGGTGTTGATCGTGGGTGGCGTCGGCTGCAACGAGAGGCTGCAGGAGATGATGGGCGAGATGGCCAAGGAGAGGGGCGGTAGCGTGTACGCTACCGACGAGAGGTTCTGCATCGACAACGGCATCATGATCGCCCACGCCGGCCTGCTGGCGTACGAGACTGGCTTCAGGACGCCGCTCGAGGACAGCTCGTGCACGCAGCGGTTTAGAACAGACGAGGTTCACATCAAATGGAGGGACTGAGGACCGTTATCGGTCAATGCTGCGCATTCTGCCTGTTCAATCAATTTCATTGTCCCCGTGACTACGACAGGACATATAAAACCCCCAAGACTATCGCTCTGTGGCGACGACTACTTGTACGCGGCGCCTCACTCGGTGAACAATTCCCACAGACGGCCACCTCCCCCCACGTGTCATCGACTACTCTTCTGTTGTGGTGGGCTTATATATGATTGTCGTGACGTACTGTATTTGGTATGAGTGAAGAACTGTGTAACAAGAAGTGGGTGGCTTGCCTTGTTTTTGTAGCGCGTCGTGGCCGAGACTGCCAGGATGTTGTTCTTAATACTACTGGTAGCAAGGTGGTTGAGCACGGTATGGTTAGGCATGTTAAGAACGCTGTTGTCGTCCTTCATAAGGACTGCTGCGTTCAGGATGGGCTTGCCCAAGAAGCCGGGCAAGCTGGGAGGGGTCGGCAGCTTCTCGATAGCGGTCACCGCATACTGATACGCCGGCGAGTCTTCGGGCTGGTCGAAATCCACCAGGTACTTGGGTATTTGCTGGAAGTACTGACTTGGCGACGGCACCTCCCTGCCTCTAGGGGGCTTGGGTTGGTCATCAGTCTGGGACCCAGAGGTTTTGAGAGCACCCTTGTCGACGGTAGCTGCTGTGGCGACGCCGTCCTTCCCAGGTTCAACGGGTGCCTTCGCCGGCAGGTCGTCGGCGCTGACTTCGATGAAATTCACCAGGTTGTTTCCGAAGTCCACGGTTGTCGGCAGGTCGGGCGAGGTCTGCATGATCCCGTCCACCAAGAATCTGATGTGGTGTGTGCCCGGAAGGATATGAATCGTCGCCGCAAACACGCCAGGCTGTCCTTCGCTGTTGAGCAATATTTGTCAGCCCAATCGATTCACGGCAAACCCACCCTGGGATGCTATTGATATTGCCCGGCACAGGCGATGTAGCTCACGGTTGCTGACATTTAAAGCCTCCAGGGAGCCACATGTGCGACGCGGGCGACCGAGATTCATGCGGTCGGAATGAAACTTACACAGGATGTAATCTATGTTTGCGGTTCCATTGGAAGATGGTTCCCGTAACGTAGATCTTGCCTCCTCCCTTGCGCCATTCAAGACGGGTCGGCACTGTGGGCCGGGTCTTGTCGACGATCAACTCCTCGTTATCTTCATCTTCCGCGGTGTTCGTGCTCAGTGCCGACGACTTCCTAGTCATGCCATCTTCGAGGATTTCCACCTCGGGAACACTGCCGTCGTTGGTGTCGGAGGGCGCGATTATGGGCGATCCGGGAGTGTGAATCTCTTCCTCGATAGGGAGCGGCATACGCGGCGGACGTGTCAAATACGACATGTCGTTCACGCTGCTGTTCCCCACCAAGGCTGGTTCAATCATGTGGGCAGAGTAATGGGAACGGAGGGAGGAGGATTCGGTGGTGGCGGCGGCGGCAGCAGGGACGTTTACGGGCTTGCTAGGCGCATCGCGGACGATGTGCTTGGCTTCGGGAGGCTTCGGTTGCGGGGCGGAGTTACTCGAGTTCGACGAGGGAGAGCCGGTGGTGAAGTTTGAGATTGGAATGGACTGGAGGGGCTTGGGACCCTTTGTGATCGTGGAACCCTGAGCCTGGGTGAGGGAGGGTTCGGGCGGGGCAGCGACTCGCTCGGCAGACCGCGGCGGAATGATGTGTTTGGACTCCCTCTTGGGGTGGTGGTGGTGGTGGTGATGGTGCTTGGGAGAGTCCTGCGACGAGACAGGCGTCGTGGACTTGGATGACGAGGGGTTGTTTCCCATTTTGTGTCGTTTCCTCTTCGTCCAGATTCGCTCCTGGGGTGGGACACGACAGCCTGGTCTCGCTGCGTGTGTACGATCTGGGGGGGGGGGGCAGGTGGTTCCGGGACCTGGCCAGTCCGAGTCTAGATCGTTATCCCGTTTTTTGGCTCCTCAGGTAAGCAACGGCGACGTCCGGCGGACACGACAGACGGTGCGGGTGCGTATTGGGGTTCGGCAGTGGTGCAGGGAAAGGCGCACGAGGGCAGCGCTACCCAGATGAATGAGCACAATGCAGCGATTCAGTGATAGGTAGTCACGATCCGGGGTCGGGCGTCGAGACCCAATATCCCCACGTCAGGCAAAGAAAGGTACCTAGCTGCGACTGGCCTTCGTGCGAGCCTGGTTAGGTAAGGCGTAATTGCACGACGATAGCTTGCGCGGGGTTTGCCAGTTTATTGTCGCATTCTCAGCGAGACTATACAGGGCTATGCTGTATAGTCAAAAATGGGTTTCTGGCGTGATTGGGTTTTACGCAGGAGGAAGGGCAGCCAAGCAGGATGTCGCTGCTGATGGGGTGACGATGCGTCTTTTGAGTAAGGTGACGTGGTGCGAGAGTGCAAGACTCGCTTTTTGGAGATTGGATGAGAGGTCGGCTTAGTTCAACGACGGGCTCGAGGTTGAGAGGTTGAGAGAGTGAGCGAGTGAGTGAGAGAGAGAGGGGAGTGTGTAGAGGGGTGTGGTGTGGTCAGGTCGCCTGTTCTGACGCCAGCGTTTGGGGTTCGGCCCAGATAGAATGTGGCCGAAGTCAGATAAGCTGTGCCTGGAAGGTACTCGGTAACCTTTATTGCGGACCGCGGGGAAACAAGTATCAGTGGGCCTCCGCTTAGCCGATCAGTGGGTGACGCGGTACCTACAGGTTACATACATCGTAGAGGTAGGGCCACTTGCATCCGTGATTCATCCTATCTAAGGTAGCTCCTGGCAGCTTGTCAAAAGAACTGAGACGAATAAAGAGCGAGCCATTCATGTCTTGATGTTTCTTCCGCCGTCCTATAATTTCGATATGCGATATCCGTGATTATGGAATATGGTAATTACCACGAGGAAAGATGAGTACCAGCCTTGGTCGGCGCCTTCGAGCTGGTCAGTGCACGTAGATTTGATGCTCCTAGGCCCCATCCGATACTTACCTAACGAGATCGAAGCTGGCCATGCCTCGTAAGCTCCCTCCACCTCCCGCCCAATTTCTAACTCTACTCTATCTTTACCAGCTGAAGCCAGCTAATAACCTTGGCTCGCGTGAGCTGTCGCTACATCAACAAACCCCCCTCGGATTTCTGAGCTGGAATGCTGCAAATGCACCATAGCCACTGCACTTCTCACAAACCAGCAACTCCTCAACTTGACCATATCCCTAGTTCAGAACGGCCGTCTCTGTCGACCGACGTCGTTCTCGACAACAGCAAGCTCGCTTACTCTCTTGGCATGCTCTGAAGAAGTAAGGACAGGACCATTTCATCCCCAGGTGCAGCTTACAGCGAGCTACCCCTGTTGCACATCTAAACCTCATTCTCACTCACAACCGACCTCACGACACGATATGGCGTCGCTGTCGTATGCCTCGGGCGTTTTCGCCATCGCTACATGGCCCGCGAGGATCGTATGGAAGCCCGTGGCCTTTTTCGTCAATGTGATTCTCGTCTTGTTTTCGCCCATCGTACTCATGGCGTCATATGTCATCGGATGGGGCCAGGCTTTGCTCGATTTCGTAGCTAGCCTCGAGGTAAGTCGTCCATCCCTTACAACGCACTTCATCTACAGCAGCGCTAACACACTCACAGCCCCTTTACACTTTTGTAGGTTTCCTCACCCTCCTTAACAGCCGGGCACTTGATTTGCTCACACCCTCAACAGTTGGCGTGCGGCGCCTGTATCGGTATCGTGGCTGGTCTGACCTTGTCATGTACGTCTGGTATAATAACCACAGTCTTCGGCATGCATGAGGACAGGTCGAAGTCACTGCCTCCGACGCCAATGCCTTCGACGCCTTTGTCGGAACGGCCAGGAACAGGTAAGACCGAAGACTCTTCGTCCTACGAGACAGACTGGCACATCCTCAATAAGCCGCCCCCGAAGAGGCGGAGACGGACACCGGGACTCTGGTCGCAGACAATTCACGAGGAGGACGATGACGATTCTGAGATCTGATCATGTGATTTGGGGATTCTTTACGCATACCGTACGCAGCAGAAAGGGTGGCTATCATTACCTGGGAATCACTTTCAAAATGCCAGCCCTGCGCGGGAATATGCCTCCTGCCCTCCCAAACGCCTGTTCCTGTGCTTCGCCGAGCTACTCGCCCTGTTCCCCGATATCATAATCTCTTGTGATATTGTCCGCAACTTCACCTGCGGTACATGTCCCGGTCCCGCTCACGCTCCCTTATCGGCGAGCGGCTACGGCTTCTCGTCCGGCGGTCCCAATCCCGGTCGTGCCACCTTTCATCCCTGCTGTTGCGACGACGGTCGCGCGGCGGCCGGTCATCCCGGTGTCGAGACGCATCGTCCCTATAACTCGGGATATACGTATCTACGTCGGGTGCTCTTCCACCCCGACTCCTAGGTCGTCTGTCTCGATCCCGATCCCGGAAGGCATCGCGTTCCATAGGCCCGCCGTTGACGTACTCGGGCGGGGGTGGCCTTGGCGGCAAGCCTCTGTCTCGTTGCCAGGCTGGCCTGCGCTCGTCCCCGTTACGGGGGGCTCCAGGCAGGTTGGGGTTACGGTTACCGTTCACGCCGTTGCGGCTGTTGTAGGCGTCGGCGTTGTTGAACCCGGCATTCGCACCATGTGCTTCAGGACCCATGCCCACCGTGCCCCCCTTTGGCGCAGGTGGCAGCTTCGCCTGGCGGTCGTGGAATTTCCGCCTATCCAGTTCGTGGCTGTCTTCGAACGTTGGGAGGTCGCCTGGGTCGGCTGGCATGGGAGCCATCTTGAAGTACGGATGGTTGAGGGCGTCACCGGCGTTGATACGAGTTCTCCAGTCAAGTTTAAGGAGCTCCTTTAGCAAAGAAACGGCACCAGTCCCATACTCTCTGAATCTGTTGGACAAGCTGCCGGGTCGAGGACGCAGCGTAAGGGCCTCCGCACCAGGGAGCGTGTTGAACAAGGGCATGGTTTCAGGTGTGGGTGATCCCATCAGATCCCAAATGATTTCGAGTTGGTGAGTGTCACTCTCGCCTGCCAGGATCGGTTTTCCAACAAGCATCTCACCAAAGACACAGCTATTGCGTGGGTCAGTACTTCGTGGCAAGATACAGATGCACAGGCGTAAAACTTACCCAACACCCCAGACGTCAATAGCGGTCGTGTATCTCTTCAAATGAAGCAACAGCTCGGGGGGTCGGTACCATCTAGTGACGACCAGGCCGGTATATTCTCTTTTCCCCTCGCCTGCGCCATGGCCTGGCTTTGGCGTCGGTCCTTCGTAGTGTCTTGCGAGACCAAAGTCGGCAATCTGGAGGATGCCCTTGTTGTTGATCAAGAGGTTGGCGGCTTTCATATCTCGGTGCAAAATACGGTTGTCGTGCAGGTATCGCAGCCCTTCGAGAAGTTGCAGCATATAGCATTTGATTTGAGGCTCGGTGAAGTGAACAGAGGGGTTGTCAAGCAGACCTGATAGGTCGTGATCCATGTACGGGGTTGCCATGTACATGATGGGTCTTTTGCGCTTGTCGCCTGTGACAATCCGGGTCAGGAATTGCTGCTGGCGAGATGGGTAGTTGAGCATGAGCGACTTACTGGCTCTTTGAGGGTGCTCCACGGCCATGTCAATGAGCTGCAGGACGTTTTTGTGGGAGAGCAGCTTCAGAAGTTTGATTTCGCGCAGTGCCGTGATGGGGAACTATGGCCCGTCAGTTGATGGCCCACGGGTGTTCGGGATTGGTATCACACGCACGCCATCCTTTTCGTGATGCATAATGATTTTCTTGAGAGCTACATGGGCGTTTGTCTTGCGAGATCGCGCGCGATGGACTTCACTGCAGGTTGTCGGTCAGTATGATGATGACTAGGAACGCGGTGGCTGCAGGCAGACTTACCCAAAAGTACCCTCGCCCAACTTCCCGAGGAGCTCGTAATCGGTGATGCGCGAGCATCCCTGAAAACTCGTTTTGGGGCGCTGATGTTGTATCGCAAATGTCCGAGGCGACACGCCGCCGTTGTGTGCGCTAGAATCCATGATGGCTGCGAAGCGCGGCGAGGTGCGCCTGTCGCGATGGAACTTGGCTGGCTCGATCGAAGCTTCTGGCGGAGGTGTGGGACTAACAGCGAAGGCCGGCTAAAAGGATTGCATTGCTATTGAATCACCAACGTGTAATATAGCGATCGGTCGTAGATGAGTGTTGTAGCTGTTGCTGTGGTGCTAGATAAGCAGGTTGCTTCCTGTGTTTGGTGTTTGGAATTAGCTTGTATTAGGTAGGTTGTTGAAGACGGGTTGGTGTCTGGGCGGTGTCTGTGGCAGAATCCCAATAAAGTCCAGATTGGAGGTGTGATGCCATGGTCAGAACCAAAAAAAATCGCGGAAAATCCCTGGTCCTGCGCAGTGGGTGCTCCCGCTGAGACGGAGACTCCTGGAGCGTCTTTACCGATGTAGGTAGGGTACGTATCCCCCCCCCCAAGTGCTAGTGGCAGGTTCGGTTTAGAACTGAGCGCACGTGCGTGCGTCATCGTCTGAAGGTCAACTTCTGCAAGCAACTCAAATCCATTGATTGCATGGAGAGACTGATTCAACTTTCCTTCCAATACCCGCCAGAGTTTTGTCCCAACCGGTACCTAGACAGCAAGCCTGGCACAGCGGGGCTATTGGCTCTGGTTATGGGGACATACTTGGTCCATCCACCACATCCTCCGGCTTATGGTCAGCAATTCCTCCTTCATCGGTGTCTAGACTAGCCATGCCTGGCTTCTGGAGACGGTCACGCTGCGGTCGTGGTCGTTCTGTTACTTAATCATTACCCCTCCAAAACTCTGTCCGCCATCCGCTATCGGCTTTTGTCCCATCTTCTCTACCCCACGATACTAGAGCTGTCACCAGCTTCCGTACCCTTTCCATCTTATCACACGATAAGGCGTTCCCTTGAAAGTGTGAGGGGCATCGTTGGTATTTGCCTACATTCTCATGTCTTTCCTTATCTAGGTCCTTGGGTCAAACACAGGACAGGCACGCATTGACCTAATGTCAGCTCTGGTAAGGTTCAATCAGACTGTTGCCCTATGTCGGACTCTTCCAGCTGCCTTTTCACTCGCTTTGTCACAAAATGACTTGTTGACTCGCCATTCGTCCCCACTAGCGTGCTTTCGCCATCCATCGCTGATCGCTGTCCATTGCAACTTCTCGTAGTTCGTTTCCATTAGACAAAATTTACAAAATTTTGCACAACCCTTGGCACTAGCCAACTGTTATCGCCTTGCTCTCCATACAAAACCCTCCTGCCCCTCCATATTACCCCGTGCCCTTCAACTTACTTGTGGAGGCTCTTGTATCCGATAACCCTCAACTCTCGACTTCAACCTTCGCCCTTTCTCTGGCTTTCTGTTACCTCCCCATTAACGAAACTCACTATTGCCTTCGCACAATCGACACGCGCAATGGCTTTCGAACCCACCGCCGAGAGGCTCCTGCCGGCGTCCAACTACCCGGAATCCCGAGTCCTCATCATCATGACGGGCGGAACCATATGCATGCAGCCTACCGCTGACGGACTCCAGCCTATTGGAGGTTTCTTAAATAATGCCATGGCTCCGCGCCCCTCATTCAATGACAAGTCGTCGCCTTCAGGTATGTTGTTATTGAGGGTACCACACACCGAAGGAGATGTGGAAGGCCGTGACAAAGACAAGGACCAGGGTTTCCATCAAGCCAAGGATTTATGTGCTTCGAACCCAAGAGTTTATTTTGTACTTGGGAGACATCTAATAGCCTTCATGCAACTCAACTGGCCAAGCTCTTACCACCACGCAATGTTGGGATTCGCTAACAAACTACAGTCCAGCTTGACGCCATCAAGGACGGCCAAAAAGTTATGCTTGACAGTTTGAGAACACCGCCAAGCGCCTACTCCCGCCATATTCGCTACGGCGTGCTGGAGTTCAGCCCTCTGCTGGATTCAAGCTCCATCTCGGCGGAGGGCTGGACCGAGATCGCCCAGACCATTCGGGAGAATTATCGCCTCTTCGACGGGTTTGTTGTTTTGCACGGCACCGACTCTCTGTCGTACACGGCCTCGGCTCTTTCTTTCATGCTTTCTGACCTAGGCAAGCCCGTCATCCTCACAGGATCCCAAGCCTCTATCTTCGCTCTCCAGTCGGACGCCGTGGACAATCTCCTGGGCTCGCTCATTATCGCAGGAACCTTTGTCATCCCCGAGGTCGGCCTGTTCTTCCACCATAAGCTGTTCCGCGGCAACAGAACCAGCAAGGTTTCGTCCGCCGCTTTCGAGGCCTTTGCTAGCCCCAACTGCGAGCCCCTGGCCAAGGTCAACGGGCTGGGTATTGATGTTAACTGGCCCATCGTGCTAAGACCCACCAGGATCGCCGAGCTTCAGGTCACCAACCACCTCGACACCGCCCACGTCGCATGTCTTAGAGTCTTTCCCGGTATCCGGCCAGAGATGCTTGATTCGGTTCTGCGCGTCCCCGACCTGCGCGGTCTCATTCTGGAGACCTTCGGCATGGGCAACGCTCCTAGCGGCATCGATGGCAGCCTGACCAAGGTCATTAAGGCGGCTGTCGACCGTGGCGTCATCGTCGTCAACGTCAGCCAGTGCATGAGCGGTTTTGTGTCCCCCGTCTACGGCCCCGGAACCGAACTCGGCCGCGCCGGCGTCATCTTCGGCCTCGACCTCACTGCCGAAGCGGCCCTGACAAAGCTGTCGTACCTACTCGCCATTCCGAACCTGTCAACCGCCGAGGTCGGCGCGCGGATGTCGCAGTCGCTGCGCGGCGAAATGACCGAAATGGCACTCCCGGTATTTTCGCACCCATCTGGCTCACTCGACTCGGTCGTATCTCGGCTAACGGCCTCAGAATCGGCATTTACCGTCCTCGGCTACGCCATACGGAATGGCGATGTCCGGGCGGTGAGGGACATCCTGGACAACGACGGCCAGCGCGAGCTCCTAAAGATGGCCGACTACGCCGGAAACACGGCCGTCCACCTGGCCGCCGTCGGACCCGACCTCGAGATTCTGCGCGAACTGCTGACGAGGGGAGCCAGCGTGCACGCGCGGAACCGCGCCAACAACACGCCGCTCTACCTCGCGGAAAAGACAGGCAAGGAGGAGTGTGTGCGGCTGCTCAAGGAAACGGGAGCGCACTTGTGGCAGGAAGAGGAGGTTATTCTAGGCTCTGTGCAAGCGTCTGCATCTGCATATGGAGGAGTTCAAAAGTAGGAGACTGGAAAAAGTTGTCATTTGGTCATTATTTCTGCGGGCGTTTCTAAGGGTTCATGTTTAGAGGTTAGGTTTCCAGCGACAACGAAGAAATACAACACAATACATTGGTCTTGTTGAAGTTCGGGTCTCTTGTGAACCGTCTTTAGCTTGCTTCCTTATCCCAGTCTACTTCAGGGACCCGACCTTTCAGCTCTGGTGAAAAGGAGGAGCTTGAAGCACAAACAGTCCAGGGCGGGACTCGAAATTTGGCTTCAACGCACTGAAAGTTCAAAGTTTTGTGCACTAATGACTCTACATAATGCCACGTGCTGCTCGTTATTATTGTGCAGCTTGTTTTTAAAACGTATTTGCTGCCTTCTCGTAGCCTTTGTTTACAAGACCAAGATGAGGGAGCAACTGTTTCTGAACCGTTCCGTAGGCGTTCCTCACGAGGACTCTTGTTGCATTGTTATACTGCTTCCGTCCCGAGTTCGTGTTCCTGGTCGCCTTCTCATGGATTATGCCAAATCTCGCAGCGGAGAAAATAGAGATACTGGATTTCTTGAGCTGCGGCTACTTGCTTGGTGTGTGTGCCAAGAGTGCTAATATGCGCCGAGTAAGGTGGTTCATACGGTGCAAGTGTTGCCCGAGGTACCGGGTCGGCCCCACATTCGATCGGCGCCGTAGCTCGACTCAAAATTTTGGGAGATTTCCCATTTGCACCTGCAATCGGATGCTTCACCAATCGTCATTGACTCGACACCTCTCCCTCCTCGACACCACCCACCCTCCTCGAGCTCGGAGACAGCTTCGACGATCGTCAGAAATTCGGGATCGCGAGAACACCGAACCTCAATCGCCTTGACGAACACCTCCTTCGCCCTCCCAACCTTCCCAGACCCCCCTCCGGCCGAATATCGCAACTCCCGCAAGACCACCAACAAATTAAATTAAGAAAAATGACCGAGTCAACACAACAACCCGCGGGATCTTCCCCGGCCCTTCCGCAGACCCCTCCCCTCATCCATAACGCCGCCATCGCGGCCTCGGTACTCTGCCCGCTCATCATGTTGATGCCTCCGCGGCGGCGCGACTGGCGCTTCTACATGCTTGCGACGGGCTTCACGGCCTCAATGAACCAGCTCATCTACGACTGGACGGGCCAGTCCGTCTACCAGGGCGTGCAGTCGCGCTTCGCGCGCATGTTCCCCACGGCACTGCCCGAGCAGGCCCAGCGCACCAAGCAGCTCCTCCGCGAGGAGCGCATGCGCCGCGAGGGGCTGACGGAGGAGCAGATGCGCGCCATCGAGTACAAGAAGCGCAACCTCGCGCAGCGGCTGTGGTACGGCGAAGAGCCCGAGGACTGGGACGCCAAGAGGGGCGCCGAGCACGCCAAGGCGCTGGCAGAGGGCAAGGGGTTGGGTGACCTGATCGTTGAGCAGGTCGCCGAGGTCTGGAGCAGCGCGAAGAAGGACGAGAGCAAGAGGGAGGGCGGGGACGATAACGATGATGAGAAGAAGGCGTGAGGGATTGGGGGACCGAGTGCCGCAGGGTGACGTCGTGTAGGATTATCAAAACAGGAGATCGAAGCCTGGCTATCACCAGCGCCTGTGGCGGTTGGAACGCAGTCACACTTGGCGTTCGGGAAGAGAGAGAGAGAGAGAGAGAGGCCGAGAGGTATGTCTGGTTTGTTGACCATCTCCCCTAGGCATTGTACATTACTGTTTCATCGAGCATTGTAAACATACAAAGCAACCATCATTCGGCGATTTGGACGGAATTAAACGACGTATGTTTTCTTTCGCTACGAGATGCTAAGTGCTTCTGCTCGATATGTACTTTTTGAGTGTTTCATCCCCCCACCGTTACATTACCCGCTAGACGCCAACATGCAGTATTTTATCTTTCACTTTGTATTTTCCACCCTACTCCACGCTTTCGTGCCCATTACTCCTCACAACGCCTGATTTCTTCCGGATGTCGGCGGGCTGTCGAGCCGCAGTTCGGCCAGCTTCGCCCCTAGCTGCCTTCCTGCCGGGCTCTCAGGGCGTTTTTGAGTTTCTGCTTCTTTATCTGCTTCTGCTTCTCGTAATTGTTGGTGCTGTGTCCTTTAAGAAGCTTACCCTTTGCATTGGACCGAGCCGAATGTTTCTTAGCCACCTTCTTGGCCGCGCGCGCCTCGGCCCTCTCATCGAATTGTGCCGTCCACGCCGACAGGAGGGCTTCCACCTCGGCCTGGCGGTCGTCCGAGTCGACCGCGATGCCGAGCTCCTTCTTGATAGCCACCCGCCGATTCTCAATCTGCATCAACCGCCGCCGCGCCGCGCGGTTGAGGCCCTGGTGTTGCGAGTCGGCCCCACTGACCGAGCTGGGTGCGTTCGATGTGGTGTAGCCCGTCATGGATGTGCTTTTGGCCTCAAACTTGGTGGGTTTTACGTCGATCACGAAGGGACACGGCTCGGCGTCGGTCGTGGGTGCCGCGGCCGAAGAGGTGGGCTCGCTGAGGGTCTCTGTCTCTGCTGCTGAAGCTTCTGGGACATTTTCTTCAGGCTTCTCGTCCGTCTCCTCGATATTGCCCGCCTTCTTGGGGGTCTTCTTCTCCGTCTTCTTTCTTCTTGACTTTTTCTCCTGGCTGTTCTTTGTGGGTGACGCAGGTTCGGATTCAGGGTTCGGTGTGCTAGCAAGCGAGGGGATATGTGAGAACCCTTGCGCTGCGAGTTCCTCGCGTCTCTGTTTCCTACGCGCAGCGCGTTCGGCTCGTGCAGCGCCCGCTGCCTCTCTCTTCTCAGCCGGGGTTGGGGGGACGTCTACATCCATGGCGTCGGTTGACTTCACAACATTAGCCTGCTTTTGGTGGGGTTAGAATGGCGGGCAGTTTAGAGACTCGGGAAGTCAAGCGAACCGTAGGTGCATTGAGCTTGGCGCCGCCATCCTCCATATCGGAGCCGGATTCAGCTTCGGAAGTCTTCCTGCCCATTGCTCTAAAGACGTGTGTGAGCTGTGTCGTCTGTGAACAGTGAACAATTTAGTCACGCGACGGAGAAAGAAATTCTGTCATACGACCGTTGGCTAGGTACCTTATTAAAGCTTCCCCAAGCGAGGAAAAAAAAAAAAAAGGTCTGTCTTCGACCAGGGGTCCTCTAATCTTATCTCCACGTGACACAAATCCCGTTATAAACGGCCGACACGTTAGCGGAGCGGTGGTATGGGCAACGGCGCACGGACGAGAGACTCCTACCAAGCACAAACCCCCGGCTTCTTCGGTATGTCACGGCGTGTACCTAGTCTCTCGTGTGGTGGTGATGACACACACCCACTACATACCAGCAGCTTGTGAGTGGCTGGCTGCCGAGCCACCAGTTGTCGTCAGTGCCCCTGGCCTGCCCGCACCCATCGGTGAGAGCTGAGCTGGGTGGCCAGTTTTAGGTCTCGCTGTTGGTTTGTGCCATCCATCCCTGATGCTTCGTCTGTTAGACTCAAAGTAAGTTGTTTTTGGAAATATGAAAAGGCACCGCGAGAAATTGACCAGGTAGGGTCACCCAGAGGCAGACTGCGATGCGATGAACCCACCCTTTCGGATACGAGATATCCGTACTTGGTTCAATATCGCGGGTGCCGCAAATTCCACATTCCAGTCCTTGGATTCCATCGACAAGGTACACTGCAGCAAACATGCGAAATACGCAGAATCATCATGCTATGAAGTGGCTCGAAGAACGGGCGATGGGACGTTGAAGGTTGTCTGTGGCATAGACAGTTTCATATCGAACAGCGGCATAGCGAGTGATGGGATGATAAAATGGAACGAACACCTGGGTGTTGTTGCTCACGCAACGCCTTAAAATCGCCGTTCAAGGGTCATGACTCCCCTGAGGGCATGGTACCAGTAGACTGCAGGCGCTGCATGGATCGGCAGCCAGTCGAAAGCCTGCACACTGCACTAGGTAGGGCGTATAACATTTCATCATACATGGTTGCTTCTCTGAGGTAGCTGAGAAGGATTGTCATTTGCTGTTCTTGTTTGTGATCAGGATTTGGAGTCGCTGACAGTTGGCAATCCTACGTGGATCTGCTGATGAAGCGAGACAAGCTGCCGTTTGCCAGGCGTGCCGGGTCCGCAAAGGAAACATTCAGATACCTACCTACCTTGGTGTGCTAGGTAGGTAGGTAGGTGGGAAGCAATACTGGCCAACGGAAGGCGGCAGCAGCGGAGGATGAGGCGGCTGAGAGGAAAACTACGTATACTATATACTATGTACATAGTACACATACCTAGGTATCTAGGCAGAGCAGCTCCTGTGAAAAGGTAGTGAGTGTGCAAAAGTGCAGCAGGCGCCACACCGGCTCGGCAGGCTGGTTACCCAAGTCTCTGAAACTTGCGTGTCCTACATTTCCAAACATAGCACGGCTGGAGAAGCAGAGTTGTTGGCTAGCACAAAAGGGCTGCAGCAGGAAAGAACCGTGTGTGGGTGCTTCCTTCTGACCTCTGGGAAGGCCATGTGTGATCAACGCTACTGCTTTCGTCGCCCTCGAGAAGACTCAGTGGAGGAGGCTGACAATGCTGACACAGCCCCAAAGCCGGGACTACTGCAAGCCTACTGCACCCTGCTTGGCTTAGGCTCTCCCGTTTGGTGGTTGCGCCCTTGTGCATGTTGCTCGTTCCCGTCATTGGCACCCACATCTCCACCCATTCATAAGCCTCGAGTCTGTGAGGGGCGGGCAGTGTTTGAGGTTCCAAATGGCTCGTACCGTGTACCGTAGTACCTACGTGATGTGTGCTCGTTGCTCCAACCACCGACTAGTCACTTTGGGCTCTCACTTGGCGGCCTAGGCAAGAAGAGTGCAAGTACCTTTCCCATCCAAATACGGAGTACAAGACGGGGAACGCCTGTGTTCATAAGCAGGGTCGATTTGAAACAAATAAGTCTTCTCGCATCCCCCCCTTCACGGTGTTGGAACGTGCCGTTCTTTCTACTAGATTCATCCCTCGACCGACATACCATTGTCGCACCTGACATACTCCCTTCACTCGTTCTTCTATAATTCCTGGTTGCCACCAGTCATCAGGCAGACGAACATTGTGCGCCTCGACACTCAGCATCGCCCGTCTTTTCCTCACTGGGACGGCCATCCGAAGTGGTGTAGGTAGCTTGGATTGTGCACAGGCATATCTAGTCCGCTAGTCCATCATCGACCTCGCCTACCCGCACTGCAATCGCCTTGCGACATCACACGCAGTCCGTTCAGACAGCGCACCATCGACCTGGTAAAAAGGACGGTTGGAGCGAGAGGTCGGCTAGTCGAAGTAATTTGCTTAGTCCGGCCCACGGATACCTCGCTCATCGGCGTCCACCAATCCACTACTCACCTCACTCCCACTCTCACACAGCCGTCGATCGACCTGGATTCGGCTCGTCGAACAAATACCCACGACCCCCCAACCACACACTCACACCTCTTATCAACCTCCCGCTGTCACATTTCTCCGCGTTTTATCTCATTCCGGTACCTGAGCCATTTCCCAACTCGCACTAGTCTGATTCGCTTCACCTCACTCCAGTCCGACCCAGTTCGACCAAGCCTGGCTCTTCAAGCGAAATTCGACCCCGAGAAGAAAAGAAAGGGGACAACAAGGTCAACCCACATTGCCGCTCCCCGGCCTGATCTAATCCCATTTCCTTTCGTGATTGGCATCCCAATACCCACCACATCATGGCTTCCAACGATTACTACCACGGCAGCAAACCGCCATCAGGAGCAACTCCCTCTCCTGCTCCCTACTACGCCGGCGCATACAACAACAACAACAACATTCCTTCCACCAGCTCCACCCCTGCGCCTCCCTACAGCTCGATACCGAACGCGCCCGGTGCCAGCCAACCGCCACCGCGCCAAAACACCATATCCCCCTTCGAAACCGTCTTCGACGATCACGTTTACCCAGTAGACTCAACACAGGACGGGTTCCGGCACAACAGCCACAGCCAGAGCCCCCAGAGTCTAAGCAATATGAATACCGCCTACACTGGCCACGGCCAAACGCCGTACAGCATGCACGATATTGATCAGTCAAAACCTTATACGCAGCAGGACACCGGTTACTACGGCCACTCTTCCGTTTCTCCCGATTCCAGCAGACCGAATGTGGCAGACGATATTCCTCTGCAGAGCCGACAGCCGACGCAGCCGCACAAGGACGTTGAAATGAACGACAACGATCACGTCTACGACGCACCGCAGGGATCTCGACGCTCCAAGAGCCAGCGCGGCAAGAAGAAGGTCGGCTTTGGTCAACTGGGCATGTTTGGCGCCGACAGGAAGGGTATCCCGTGGGTGGTTTACTTTTTCACCCTGGTTCAGATTGCAGTCTTCATCGGTGAGATTGTCAAGAATGGTAAGGAGACAAAAAAACAAAATCAAGACTGTAGAATTGCATGCTGACTTGCCCCAGCTCAACTGACGGGCTCGCCGATCATGACGAAGCCCTCTTTCAACCCCATGATCGGACCCTCGACGTACGTGATGATCAACATGGGCGCTCGATATGTTGCCTGCATGCACAATGTCAAGGGTATCCAAGATCTTGGCCAGCCCATTACCTGGCCTTGCCCGAATTCGACGTCGAACGATGCCAGCAACCCTTCGAATCATTGCGGCTTAGGGGACTTGTGCGGTTTTGGTGGCGTGCCCGAGCCTACCTACACCGACATCAACCAGTCGCCGGAGCCCAACCAGTGGTTCCGCTTCATCACGCCTATTTTCTTGCACGCAGGTCTCATTCACATTGGGTTCAACTTGCTTCTGCAAATGACAATAGGGAAAGAGATGGAGGTAGCCATCGGCTCGATTCGGTTCTTCTTGGTATATTTGAGCGCCGGTATCTTTGGCAACGTCATGGGAGCGAACTATGCCGGCGTCATGGCCGCATCGACAGGTGCATCAGGCGCGCTCTTTGGTGTCATCGCTCTTACTCTGCTCGACCTCTTGTACTCGTGGAAAGACCGGCGCAGCCCTGTCAAGGATCTGATGTTCATAATGTTGGACGTCGTCATATCCTTTGTGCTGGGACTCCTGCCAGGTCTGGACAACTTCGCCCATATCGGTGGTTTCTTGATGGGCCTAGCGCTTGGCGTCTGCGTTCTGCATTCTCCCAACTCCCTGAGACGGAGAATGGGAGCCGAAGACCCGTCCTACGCATCAATGCAACTCAATCCTAATCAAGGCCCGCCCCCGTTCTTGAAGAACCCAGTTGGGTTCTTCAAGGGGCGGAAGCCACTTTGGTGGGCTTGGTGGCTGGTCAGAGCCGGCTTTTTGCTGACCGTCATCATCGTCTTCATTGTCTTGCTCAACAACTTCTACATCTACCATAACACTTGCAGCTGGTGCAAGTACCTCAGTTGCATTGTAAGTGTCACCGGATCAATTCTTAGCGGCAGTCTGCTAACCCAAGAATAGCCTGTCAACAATTGGTGCGAGCTTGACAACTTCAAGATCACGAGATCTTGAGGGGTTGATGCCATTAGAAAATCGACCGCACTTATAATGCATCGGGTCACATTTTTTGACAAGGGGGTCTTATGGTTTGCATTGCTCAGCGACGGCGTCTGGTTCAAGATGGGTATTTTATGAAAGGGAGTGTGTCTACCCGCCTATTCCAAACAAGAGAAGAACTGCCTCGAACGATCCATATTGTATTGTACACAAAACGGCAAGGAGGGTAGCATCAGGCTTGTACTTGATGACAGCCAACAGACTATTTGCCTTGGTGACAGCAGATCATTGCCACGTCCGTGTTGATGCGGCGCTGCCTTGGCTGCACCACAGATCATTCGACTGGCTGAACGAAGTTACGTATGCAAAACTCGGCTGGTCCTAATAGGATTTAAATAAGCATAGCATTTCCCCAACGCAGTTTCGCTTTTATTCTCTTAGCTATGCGAATATGAACCAACCGCTACGTCAGGGCCCTCGGACTCTGTTCGAAGGGCCCTTCACCCGAGACCTTTAAGGTCGCTCAACCGCGCCAAAGCATGTGTTTCATCAGTGTAGATGACGTCTTCGTCCAGTCCAAGCCTTCTGTCAATAATCCCTTGATTATCTCTTATAAGCATGGCTTGCTGAGCGGTCCTGACCGGCCGCCGTTGATGCCTCCTAAGAATGGATATCTGAGGAAGGGCCAAATAGCATATTATTTGTTGTCCCCACTATGTGCAGCTATGAAACAGTGCTAACTGATGGGAATGTCCTAGTCCTAGTCCTAGGCCTGCATATCAAATCCTGCAGTTGGTAACACTCCCTTGGGAAAACAAGAATTGGCGAGCTGCATGTTGTAAAGTCACAACGCTCACAAAGAAAAACTTTTTGCTGCATCATCATCGCCGTCGTCGTTTTCGTGGGTTTTTCTCTAGCCTCCATAGACAACTGACGTAATTTGATGATCCAACACGTGCATGTATGTGTGTGTATTTCTCTATTGCCCTAGAGGCAGGCAGCTATGTTGCAAAACGAGATTCGTTTAATTTAACATCATGTAATGAGCATCAACGATGACCACCATCTCATAAAATTCTTGATAGTCTCAAGGCCAATATTGTGCTCTCTGCTGCCGACCTGCTTCAAACCGTAGACCTAACGGCGGTGGTGCACGGTTGAAGGTGGGGAAAAGGTCGCGTTCTTCCTCCCTTAGTCATCACGCGCCGCGCGCCCTGCTCCCATTAATTAGTAAGTGTGCATCTTTCACGTCACGTCGAGCTGCGGCGCGTCGCGAAATCCACCTTAATTGATTTGCACAGGTCCCCTCTCGGTAGCAACAACCCAACAACCCTCCCCGACCTACTTTATTTACTATGTGTCCTGGCTGATAACCTCTGTCCAAATTCACAGCAAACGTCGCCATACACCCACAATGGCCACAGTTCTACCCCAGAAGCGGGTGCTTGGAGAAACACCAAGTACCCGTCGCAACATCCCGTCGACGCCGTCATCCCTCAAGAAGCGCAAAGTCGAGAGCTTCTCATCCTCGCCCGCACACCACTTCGGCTCCCAGAGGGACGCCAAGGGTCTCCCGGGCTCTAGTCAACCAAAGAGCGCCTTCGAATCCGAAGTCCTTGAGAAACTGAGCCAGGATATTGCCGACCGCAAGCAGAACAATACCGAGAAGGACCAGGCATGGGAGCGGCCTCCTCTCGTGGACTTCGACCCAGCAAGAGACAATCTCATCTTCCAGCAGATCGAGGCCGAAGAAGGCAGTCTACATGGTGGCCGTGCTACAGTAAAGCTATTCGGTGTCACTGAGAAAGGCCACTCGGTGATGCTGCATGTCACCGACTTCAAGCATTACCTGTACGTTGCCGCCCCGGTGGCTTTTCGGCCTGAAGACTGCAATGCCTTCAAAGCCTACCTCGAATCACAAGTGGCGCAGCACCAACCATGCATCCACTCAGTTGCCTTCCTCATGAGGGAAAATATCTACGGTTTCCAAGGAAATGTCAAGAGCCCTTACTTGAAGATCACGGTCATGGACCCCAAGTTCATCAGCAGGGTTAGGACAACGATCGAGTCGGGTAATGCCAACTGGAAGGGAATGTGGAAGGGCATGGATGGTGGCGTCATGACGTTTGACAACATTCAATATGTCCTTCGTTTCATGGTAGACTGCAAGGTATGATCCCCCCTCCTTCCTCATCCCATGTTTGATCAACGAAGCTGACCTTTCCTCGATCAGATTTTCGGCATGTCCTGGGTTGAAGCTCCCGCGTCGAAGTATCAAGTTCTGCCCCAGTCACAGCGACAATCGAATTGCCAAATAGAAGCCGAAATTAGCCATCTCGACTTGATTGCTCATAAGCCAGTGGGAGAGTGGTCTAAGATGGCCCCCCTAAGAATCATGTCCTTCGATATCGAATGCGCCGGACGCAAGGGTATTTTCCCCGAGGCAACACACGACCCCGTCATTCAGATTGCAAACGTTGTAACAAGATACGGAGAAAAAAAGCCGTTCGTGCGGAACGTGTTCTGCCTGGATACCACCAGCCCTATCGTGGCCACGCAGATCCTGGACTTCGAAAAGGAGGAGAAAATGCTCAGCGAGTGGCAGAAGTTCCTTATCAAGGTTGACCCAGACATCCTCATCGGGTACAATATTGCCAATTTCGATTTCCCCTACCTTCTCGATAGAGCGAAACACCTAAAGGTTCCGGGCTTCGAGTACTGGTCTCGTATTCCGAGCATGCCCTCCAGAGCCAAGGAGACGAACTTCTCCAGCAAGCAGATGGGTAACCGCGACAGCAAAGCCACAAACACCAACGGACGCCTCCAGCTGGACTTGCTGCAGCTTGTTCAACGCGACTACCACCTTCGCAGTTACACACTCAACTCCGTGTGCTCGCAATTCTTGGGAGAACAGAAGGAAGACGTCCACCACACAATGATTACAGAGTTGTTCAACGGAACCCCTGAATCACGTCGACGCCTCGCGCTGTATTGTTTGAAGGATGCCTACCTCCCACAGCGGTTAATGGATAAACTGTCTTGTCTCGAAAACTACACGGAAATGGCCAGAGTCACTGGTATCCCCTTCAATTTTCTGCTATCCAGAGGTCAGCAAGTCAAGTTTATCAGCCAGCTGTTCCGTAAAGCTCTTGAGCAGAAGCTCGTCATCCCCAATATGAGATCTGAGGGCACCGACGAACAGTACGAAGGTGCCACGGTCATTGAGCCGACTCGAGGATACTACGACGTACCCATTGCAACCCTCGATTTCGCCTCTCTATATCCCAGTATCATGCAGGCCCACAACCTTTGCTATACGACATTGGTCAACAAGAAGGCGATTGAGAAATTCCAGCTGAAGAAGGACGACGACTATATTGTCACACCGAACGGCGACACCTTTGTTACCACTAAGCAGCGCAAGGGTCTCTTGGCCCAGATTCTCGAAGAACTGTTGACAGCCAGAAAACAGGCCAAGCGCGAGCTCGCCATGGAAACAGATCCTTTCAAGAAGGCCGTGCTCAACGGTCGACAGCTGGCTTTGAAGATCAGTGCAAACTCCGTTTACGGACTCACGGGTGCCACAACGGGGAAGCTGCCTTGTCTTGAGATCGCCAGTAGCACAACAAGTTTCGGCCGTCAGATGATTATGAAAACAAAGGAAGAGGTGGAGAAGAAGTACTGCATCGCCAATGGGTACTCCCACGACGCGCAGGTCATCTACGGCGACACTGACTCCGTCATGGTTAAGTTTGGTACAAAAGACCTTCCCGAGGCGATGAAGTTCGGCGAAGAAGCCGCAGCCTACGTGTCTTCCAAGTTTGTCAAGCCCATCAAGTTGGAATTTGAGAAAGTGTACTACCCGTACCTTCTCATCAACAAGAAGCGATATGCCGGTCTGTACTGGACCAAGCCGGAGAAGTACGACAAGATGGATACGAAGGGTATCGAGACGGTGCGACGAGACAACTGTCTTCTTGTGCAGACTGTCATTGAAAAAGTGCTTCGCATGATCCTGATCGACCAAGATGTCCAGGGTGCCCAAGAGTAAGTTGGAGACCTCCCTTAGGCACCAATGACGCGTACACTGACACTCTCTAGTTACGTCAAAGACACCATCGCAGACCTATTGCAGAACAAGGTGGATATGTCGAAGCTCGTCATCACAAAGGCACTTACCAAAGACGACTACGCCGCCAAACAAGCTCACGTGGAACTTGCTCAGAGAATGAAGAAGCGCGACGCTGGTTCGGCACCAGGTCTTGGTGACCGAGTGGCGTACGTGATGATCAAGGGCGCGGCAGGCTCCAAGAACTACGAAAAGTCGGAGGATCCCATCTACGTCCTCGAGAACAACGTTCCGATCGACACAAAATATTACCTCGACAACCAGCTTGCAAAGCCCCTGGGCAGGATCTTCGAGCCCATTTTGGGTGAGACCAAGGCGAACTCTCTCCTGACAGGAGCTCACACACGGACGATTGCCGTGTCGGCGCCGACAGTCGGAGGCCTGATGAAGTTCGCAAAGAAGACGCAGACATGCATGGGATGCAAGAAACCGCTCAGGGGCAAGGAAGAGAGCGAGGGGGCTGTGTGCTCGGATTGCGCGCCCCGGGTCGGCGAACTGTACAAGAAGACACTGGACAAGGTATCGGACCTCGAGGTACGGTTCGGACGGCTCTGGACGCAGTGCCAGCGATGCCAGGGCAGCATGCACTGCGAGGTGATTTGCAGCAGCAAGGACTGTCCCATCTTCTACATGCGCATGAAGGCGAAGAAGGATTTGGAAGACGCAGGAAAGGAGCTGACGAGGTTCGACTTTGACCAGGCGGCGATCTGGTAAGGCACATGCCAAGACAGGGGGATGGCATGGAGGAGGCTTTCCACGACGCCAAGCTTTTTCTTACCCTGAGCCGCAGGTGCAGCAGCAGTGGTGCGGAGGTCTGCGCAGAGAGTCGCATGCACGTCATTTTGGAATAGGCGTTTATCGGCGTTGACTACTTTACAAGGCCTTT